ACATAAAAGAAAAGATACATTCGTCAAAAGTCGAGAATCATAAGATACGACACTTAATGATAATCATAGGGTACAATAAGCAATCAAATCATACTAGGAAACAGTCATTATAAATCGTAAGTATACAAGCGACAAAGTTACAGTCATACAGTCAAGTGGGAGGAGATAGGTGATAAGGAGTGATGAGAAGATTAACAGTAATAGTAGTTCAGACTTTGTAAATAGTTCAACAGTGTTGAGGGAATTATTTGTTTAGCAGAGTGATGGCTTTCAGCAAAAAACTGTTGTGTCTAGTTATTCTGGCATGCAGTACTTTATAGCATTGTTTTGAGGGAAGGAGTTGAAAAAATTTATGTCCAGGTTGTGAGGGGTCTGTAAATATTTTCACAGCCCTCTTTTTGACTCGTGCAGTATACAAGTCCTACAGAGACAGTACTGTTTTTGTACACAAACCGTTCTCTACTTTCCGTATGAAACTGTTCAATATATTTGTTTTGAATCCTGACTTTCATTCTTTGCACCTCGTTAAATCAAGTAAGAACATTACTTATGTCCCTTATCCGTAAAAATATTTGCCATTGAGGCCGTCATATAATTTCAGAACTAAAATCTATGCAAAGTAATGCAAATACAAAGTACCGTATTTGCCGGCGTATAAGACGACTTTTTTGCCCTGAAAAACATGCCTCCAAGTGGGGGGGTCGTCTTATACGGCGAGTATATAACAAAGGTCGTCTTATACGCCGGCAAATACGTTGTTGTCACTCGGTGCAAGAGTGACGGGGGCGGAGCTCCGCAACTTGCGAAGCCCCTTCAAGTCCAGCCGGAGTCTCTCTTCCTCCTCCTCCCCCACCCACCCACCCAACCACTCCGCTCGTGCGAGCGGACAGGCAGGCTCCAGGCTTTGCCCCCATCCCTCACCTCCTTCCATCCCCCTCCACCCCCCCCCAGTGGCAGAAACTTCGCCGCACGTGGGGACGAGTGGAGGGGGTGGGAGAGCAGCGACGCAGCTCAAAGCTGAGAAAGTGCCATCCTTGCTTTTGTGCTTCGGGAAGAGTTCGTGTTTTTTGTTTTTTTGTTTTTCTCCCAGGAATGGGATGCTGCTCGTGCGATTTTCTTTGGGAATTTTTCTCTTCCCGGTTTCAGCCTTTGCTCCGAATCCTCCTCCCCCCCCCCCCCCCCCCTTCCCCT